CTTCCGACGTTTTGTTTTCCAATCAACTTTGATCTTCAAAATTTAAATGAAAGGTCAATCGTTATATTCCGTTTCCTTAATTTCTGTTCTTTTAGTGTTCTCTAACCTGAATAATATTTTCTATTTCTAATATTCCCTCACGCTCACCTTGAATCTTAACGGCTTTATTGCCTTGTCTGGAGTTAAATGATAATAAAATATTCATTTCTTTTTAGTTTAAATATTGATTATATCTTTTATAATTTTTTATTTTTCAGTGTCGATATATTTACCTGCGGTGGTTTAATGGTTAGACAGCTTGTCTTGCTAGGTTCATTTACGACTGTGTAGTGAGTTCGATCCTCAGAAAGAAATAGTAGCCAACTGCGGGAAAAATCTTCCTCGTCAGTCATGTATCTTTTGATATATGATCGCCCAATCGTGTATCACGTATGCCACTTAACTGACAATGAGTGTTATATAGGAAGAAAATTTCGCTGTCGACTAATATTCATGTTTAATTACAAGTACAAACGCCCAAATATTTAACTATAGATAAACGACAAATAATTGTTTATAGACTCCAGAATAAACAATCTATAGACTAAAATATAAATAACAAACATTCATCTATAGCCTCAAGTATAAACAACTAATATTACCTATAATTTCAATTATAAATGACAAATTCTTATATAGGAATAAAGTGTCGCTGCCGATGTTTGAACATAGATCGCCAGTGAGCAAACACAGCCGATCCCGTTAGTGACTTAAACAGACCACGTGACAATAGAAGAAATGCATGGGAGGTAGAGCGTGTCTAATTGATCGTATTTCTACTCTATCCTCTATTACTATACGGATCGCTATTCTCTACTCTATTCACTATACTATTTCTCTATCCATAATACTATACCGGTTACTTATCGAGCGAGTATTATTGAGCAAGTACTATTAGTGTGAGTGCTATTCGAAGGCGTCTGACACCAGCATTGTTCAACGGCGTACCATAGTTGTATTTGCGATTATAAAGTTTCTACTACAACGAGCATTACGAAAGTGACAACGAGTTCTCGCTTACAAAACTGGCGACGAGTCTTCGTTGACATCACAAAAATAAGGAAAGAGGACTTGGAAAATTTTATACATACAGGACGGATTGAATACAAGAGGGACAAAGAAAACCAGCACGTAATCTGCCTATCGATCTTAAGTAAATGAATGGAGGAACATGGTTTAGGCGTCACTGAATTAATTAAAAGCTTCAAAGGAGATTGTGAAGAGCTATTATCGTCAACGTCCTGACTGGACACGATACATAGAAGAAAATATTTGTGAAACACATTGGGGAATACAAAATAGCCACTTCTTTGACCTCCTTATCGATTTGTACCTTTTTAATTATAAAAGTAAATGTCCGTATCTATAAAAAATGGCCGTTGTAAAAGATTTAATTAACAGAAGCAAAGAGAAAAACAATTTTCTATGAAGAATTAAGTAACTTTAAACAAGCATTCATCAATAATGTCTTTCAGAATTATATCGACACCAAATAAAGTTTTGTTCAGGGAACCTAAGTACCAGTTAAAACATTGATCACATTGTTTCTGGTTACATAGAAGAAAAATGGAAGATGTACACACACACACACACACACATATATATATATATATATATATATATATATATATATATATATATATTCGTTTCATTAAATAATATAGACAAGTGTTGACTATTTATTTTATGTAAACTCTTTTCATAACGTCTAATAAGTTTAATAACATTATAATTGAACGAAGAAAGAAATTCACAATATTGATTCATTTTTTTTAATACAATCTAAGCTTTCGGCTTACATAAGCCATTATCAAAGATATCAATTACAACATATTAAGCAATATACGGACAAGACAGTGATGACAGTCTGTGAATGTTTACATAGATGATCTCTAAGCAACGATAAACACGTGTATAATGCTTCAAGGAGTTTTAGTTTTCCTTGAAGCATTATACATTAAACAGTTGAAACCCAACCTAAACAAAATCAACTATGGAATCTCTACAAATATCCTTAAATGTCTTTAGTTGGTGACGGAGGCCATTGGTTTGTGCCATGGATTTCCATACTTCATACTTCTCCAGTTCACTCTCGCGTAGTCATGTGTGACATGAGATGCGGTGCGATTTTCGCTTCTAGCGTCTTATTTGCACGTGTTTATCGTTTAACATTTTTTCGTGTTTTTCCAATGTAAACTGACAAAGTGCCCATGTTAGTACTTAGTGTGTCCATTCCACGAAGTCGTTCCTTGTAAATTGACCACAGATTCTCGATTGGATTTAAATCAGGAGAGTTTCTATAGTACTTTGATTTGATCACTGGTAAAGCTTGCAGCGTTACAATATTTGTATGCTTCCTTGGAGTAACGCCCATCGCAGACAATGGCCGTAGGACAACTAATCGAAAGTCGAGACAATAGTTTCTGGGCGTGATGAAAATCTGATGCAATCACAGATGATGCAATATTTTTCAAGGCCAAACAAATTTCATGATACACCTCGAAAATAGCTTCATATTACTGCACACCACTGCAAACGACTGAATCTGAGGAACAAATACACCATGTCGCTCCAGTGGGTCTAAATCTGACCGTATCGTAAAAGAAAGAAAACGAAAGCGGTTGTTCCAAGTAATTTGGCCAAGGGTGTCGATTCATATATTTCCCAAGAGCAATAATGGGAATGGAAACTATTCCAAGATAACCCTCTGATTCGTGCAGGCTTTAGTTTTCCTCTGGTGAGGAACATTTTGATCAGGACCAAAAAATCAACGGAAGGAATGATAGATGGGTATGCAGAGACAGTGATGACCAACCACCGGTCATGCACATTAGGTTTCTGGCAACAGTGGTGTTAAACAACGAGAAAGATGTGTTGCTTACTCCTTCCTTTCCTCGGGGCTTAATGATCAATGCTACAGACTATAAAGAGGTGTTGGGGTTGTGTTATGCGGCCTTGGATAGAGAACATGACATAAGGCGACCAAAATGACTCAATAGTGGAAGGGTTAGAATCAGCACGATCACGTTAGCCCAATTACATGGCCTTTTAGCTCTCCAGACCTAAATCCGTTAGACTCCCAAGTATTGGGTGTAGTCAAAAGGTAGGAAAAACAACGCTGCCCTAACTCTATAAAATAAAGTCCACCATACCTATCACAATGTCTAAAATAGATAAAGACCATCTGATTCCAGCAGGGTAATGTTTTGTAATTCATCTTGAGGTTCTTGACAAAATCCAAAGAAGTAATATAATCGATCCTGACAACGCATTTCGTCATCGGTCACTTTCTCACCGACGTGAAGTGGCTTCCCTCTGTCTACAAGCTTTTTTTTGTCCCGGTTAATTTAAGCATCCTACTAGATTGGCATTTAGTCCCGTACCTTTTACTGTTGAAATAGCAACCGCTACTTCCACTCCAATAGTTTCGTTTCTCGCACTTCCCGCCAATGTCTTACCTTTACGTTTCCGTGAGTTACATGTGAGAGGTATTTCTGGGAGTTACATGTGAGAGGTATTTCTGGGAGTTGTATGTGAGTGGTATTTCAGGGAGTTACATGTGAGAAGTGTTTCTGGGAGTTATATGTGAGAGGTGTTTCTGGGAGTTATATGTCAGAGGTATTTCTGGGAGTTATATGTCAGAGGTATTTCTGGGAGTTACATGTCAGAGGTGTTTCTGGGAGTTATATGTGAGAGGTATTTCTGGGAGTTACATCTGAGAGGTATTTCTGGGAGTTACATGCGAGAGGTGTTTCTGGGAGATAAATGTGAGAGGTATTTCTGGGAGTTGTATGTGAGTGGTATTTCAGGGAGTTACATGTGAGAGGTGTTTCTGGGAGTTATATGTGAGAGGTATTTCTGGGAGTTACATGTGAGAAGCGTTTCTGCGAGTTACATGTAAGAGGTATTTCTGCTATTTACATTTGAGAGGTATTTCTGGGAGTCACATGGGAAAGGTATTTTTGCGAGTTATATGTGAGAGGTATTTCTGGTATTTACATTTGAGTGGTATTTCTGTGAGTTACATGTGAGAGGTATTTCTGGGAGATACATGTGAGAGGTGTTTCTGGGAGTTATATGTGAGAGGTATTTCTAGGGGTTATATGTGAGAGGTGTTTCTGGGAGTTATATGCGAGAGGTGTTTCTGGGAGATACATGTGAGAGGTATTTCTGGGAGTTGTATGTGAGAGGTATTTCTAGGAGTTATATGTGAGAGGTGTTTCTGGGAGTTATATGTGAGAGGTATTTCTGAGAGTTACATGTAAGAGGTATTTTTGCTATTTACATTTGAGAGGTATTTCTGGGAGTCACATGTGAAAGGTATTTTTGCGAGTTATATGTGAGAGGTATTTCTGGTATTTACATTTGAGTGGTATATCTGGGAGTTACATATGAGAGGTATTTCTGCTGCATCCTGTATTGCTGCATATATGCTTTTAAAATGTACATTTTTAAAAACTCTATTTGACTAAATTTGGCTGACTTCTGCTAGTTAGCCTTTATAACATAATCGAAGAGGCGCTACCCCCAACCCGTTAGTCAGAATAAAACTGTTTGCTACGATTCGGAAACCAATTCTTTATTCACAGTCCACACTGCTTGCTTAGCGTGTTGCTATAAAAGAAAAAGCTAGTCAAGTAAGAAGAAAGAAAAACTAGGCAAAAATTCACAAAATTAGACAAGCTTCAGATTTTAATTTATGTTTTCGTTTTTTTCACGTCTATTTTTCACCATTTCGCGGCACTATGCTCCAACTAAATCTCATGTTGTTCTCTGAGAGCAAGAAATCTCCGACAAACTTGCACTTCTTTTGATCTCTTTCCAACAAACGCCATTTTTCCTGTTTCCTCCGAAACGCAACAAGCGTTGTCCAGCATTGAATTCCAATCGATCTGATTCGGACAGCTTCACTGATCCTTCCCTTTAGTCAAACGAATATTTTACCCCCGTCCCTCAAACGAATGGTGAGTGTCTTTGACATGAAGCCTGACGTTATTCGGAAAGAAAATAACAGGCGTATTTTCCTGTTCCCAAGGTCTGTTCAATGACAGAAAACCAGAATGTCATAACAACAAACAAAAACTATAAGGAAACATATATACATATATATATATTTGTGTGTACGTAGCGTGCGTGTGGATAGAAGTCTCGAGGAAAAAGATTCATTCTTCCCAATATATATATATATATATATATATATATATATATATAACATTTGAGTATGCACATACAAGTTTCTTAAATCATCTTTACTTGTGTGTATGTGCACAAAAAATATGTTTGTACACAAATATATGATTCTACATACAAACTGTATATATAATTCGAGATTTAACTCTCTCATGCACACGCATATATATATATATATATATATATATATTGTCTTTCTTTATATATATATTATCGTTCTTTATACATATATATATATATATATATGTATGTATATATACTGTCTTTCTTTATATATATATATATATATATATATATATATATATATATATATATATATATATATATATATATATATATATATATATATATATATTCATTCATATATGTATTCATTGTATTATATATATATTATATGTATATGTATAAAGAGCACGGTGGAGTAATGGATAGCGGCTTGCATTGAGGAATCGGAGAGCCGTGTTCAAATTCCAGTCTTGGGAAAGGTATTAATCCTTTTCTTCTCCCGCCAACTATGGGTAACTAACAGGACAGACTGGGTTCTATATCCTTGGATGGACAACTCTGAATTCAAAACCTGCTGAGGGTCGTTTGGGGACCTTGTGGCGCGTAGTGCACCAGGTCAAAAAATGTGGATGGTTCTGCACACAACTTTCACCATTATAATCAAATCTCGTCTGCTGGTGTAGAACTTCTGGTTTCTAGAAACTTATCTGCTTGACCCTCATACGTCGAATTCGACGAGAGTGTCGGGTATATATACATTTTATTTATTTCTTGTTTTGTTATTTCTTTTTCTTTTCGAAAATCAAACACTGATGGAAAAATATTTGTGAACTAGGAAAATTACAGCTATAACTACCATGAGAGAAAGGCCAATGAAACAAAACCATACTGGCGATGTGCAGAGGGATCTTGCAACATTGTTAATCTGCCATTGCTTTTTAAACAAAAATAAACTTTTAATTTTTATGTTTTACTTCGTTTTTAAAAATTTATGAGAACTACATATGCTTTCTTCAAAATTTATGGTAATTGCCTTTAAAAGCTTCAAAATATTATCAGAAGTACGCAATTATCCAGGGACGCAAATGTCCTGGGACGCAATTATCTGGTACCCTATTGTCCTGGATGCAAATATCCAGCTCGCGACTGTCCTCGAATCATATAATGACTGCTTTATCATTTATCTCACTGAAATTGCCAGTCTTCATGCATTTTACATTTCTATGCCCATGCCGTTTATAACTGATATATATATATATATATATATGTGTGTGTGTGTGTGTGTGTGTGTGTGTGTGTGTGTGTGTGTGTATTACATTATGCATGAAAATCATTGTTGTAAAACTGGTGAAGAAATATATATTATGAATTTTGTATATACAGAGTGATTGAAAAGTAACTCCCCCTTTTTAAAACACTTATAATTTATTTATTGACTATAATTTTTACAAGAAATAGATATGAGAGGAAAGCGTTTAGCATGACGTTTCATTCAATGTTCGATATGGGCACCAGATTTCTCTACCAGATTCTCAGGCCGCCCAGGAATTGAGTCAAATGATTTCACCAGGAAGCCTTGTAGTATGAAAGACATAACATCTTGCATTCACCCTTCAACTTCTTGCAAAGTCTTGGTTTGGTATAGAAATTTGCTCTTTTTATAAACCCCAAAGAAAAAAGTCACAGAGTAAGGACTCCTGACTGGTCACTCATAAGAATAGTGTGTTACATATATATATATATATGAAGAAATATAGTTCTAAGGTGTGCTATATTTATGGGATAAAGTGCTCAATATCAGATAGGGCGTATGTAAATATAAATATAAAAGTGAACATTGAAGTCAACACTGAGAGGTGACAGACTGTTTCATACTGGACGAAATCGTCAGGCCGCCCGACGATTGCTTCTAGCATGAAACAGCCTGTAACCTATGAGTGTAGACTTCACTTTCATATATATATATATATATATATATATATATATATATATATATATATTAAATTAATTGATTTAAAATATGGTTTTTCCGCTACACAGTTCTAACCATGTTTCAAAAATGGAAGCCAAAAGACTCGAATTTAATTTTGTAATTAAATTAAAGACATAAGTTCCATTTCATCCTCAAGCGAAATAAGTTACTACAAAATTCGCTCGAGGATGAAATGGAACTAATGTCTTTAATTTAATTACAAAATTAAATTCGCGGCTTTTAGCTTCCATTTTTGAAACATGGTTGGAATTGTGAAAAAAAAAAAAAAAAAAAAAAAACATATTTTAAATCAATTAATTTATAATATTAATGCTCTGTAAATTTACATTGAGCACTATTTTGTAAAAATAAAAATATCTGTAAGAACACCGGATTATATATCTTACTGTTCTTATATATATATATATATATATATATATATATATATATATATATATAAATTGGTAGGTAGTTTTCCCTTAACAAAAACAGGCATTAAATTTAGCTTATTTCCTCACTAATGGTTATTAAAAATATACTATCCTGTTTTGTTTTTTGGTTTTTTTTTGGGGGGGGGTCATTTAATCAAGCATTTCAAAATAAAATTTTATTTTTGCACGACTGGATCGAACATTTATTTAACTTTTCGACGGCATGACTTTCGACAGATTTTTGTCGTGTTCTGGAATGTTTTCGAATTCCGGTCTCGAGAAGCATCCCCCTCAGTTCACCTACCCGTCGTGACCTCTGCTTGCGTCCCTTGCATTCTTCATATTATTGTCTTCTGACCCCTGACCTGAATTTATCGCTCCTACTGTTGAACTACGAACTCCTTCCCATTCATTTAATCCGCCCTATCTTCGGAGTTTCGAATACAGCATTTGCAAATCCCGTAGAGGGGTTAAGAGCCCCCACAAAATCGACCACCTAGCAGTTTGCTCCAAATTCTTATAAATGATAAATAGGGGCTTTTAAAGACAAGCCTTATATATATTTATATTTATGTTTACAAATATTTATTTTTATAGACTCCAGAAAATGACAAATAATTATTTATAGACTCCAGAATAGACAATCTATAGACTAAAATATAAATAACAATTCATCTACAGCCTCAAGTATAAACAACTAATATTATCTACAATTTCAAGTATAAATGGCAAATTGTTATATAGAAATAAAGTGTCGCTGCCGACACTCGAGTTTGAACATAGATCGCCAGTGAGCAAACACAGCCGATCCCATTATTAAATTAAGTAGACCACATGAACATAAAGGAAACGCATATATGTAGGAATTAGCTTACGACCAATGATCGTTATTTCTACTCTATCCTCTATTATTACACGGATCGCCTTTTCTTGTCTATACTATTTCTCTACTGTATTCATTATACTATTTCTATATTCGGATCACTATACGGATTACTATTCGAACGACTATTATCGTGCAAGTACTATTAATACGAGATTATTCGAAGGCGTCTGACATCAGCATTGTTCAACGGTGTACCATAGTTGTATATGCGATTACAAAGTCTCTACTTCAATGAGCATCACAAAACTGTCAACGAGTATTCGTTGACATCAGAAAACAAATATTTACCTATTGACTCAAGTATGAAAAAATCCATTTTTTACTAATAAACTCAAGTATGAATGACTAATATTATTTGTAATTCCAAGTATGAATGACAAATACTGACTCAAGTATAAAACGACCAATATTTACCTATAGTTTCAACTATAAACGGCTAATATTATCTATAGGTTCAAGTATAAATGAAAAATATTTAAGCATAGACTTGAGTATAAAACGACAAATATAACCATAAGTATAAAAAATCAAGTATAAAACAGCCAATATTTTTCTAACCCTAAAACAATTAAATTCTCAAATATAATTAAATAAAAACAATTAAATAATCCAAACACGGTTGATATGTCGTAAAAAAACAAAAAACAGCAACACAACCCATTAATTTTATAAATCAAATACCACCAAAATTCATAAAATAAGAACAAGACGAATGATAAATCTATTGCTTTCTAATTTATTGTGTCTGGTTTTTAAATTAACATTTTTCTATTTCATGAATTATTCGAACAAGAATATTCAGTATTTGTTTCGTGTATCAACATTTCAGTCGATACATTTTTCGGCTTATTCATTGCTCGAAGTCCTGTGATAAATAAAAAAGATAGACATTATTTCAATGTCTTTGTCTTCACATTTCTTTTTTATACAATGTTCCAGCCGATAAGTTCTCCAGGCTTCACAAGATATATATATATATATATTACATATGGTAGTCGTTGAGTTTTTAACTTTCACAACACGAATACAGTTCATAATTCACTAGTCTGATTGACGAAATAGCCGACACATGACTAGATTTCCAGCCAGACGGTAAAAAAATCGATAACAGTCTGCTAAATGCTGATATGGAAGGTTATAATGGCTAAATATGGTTCTCCGAAGTACCTCTATACATATGAAGTAAAGTCTAGCCACGTATTATTTATAGACTCATTTTGATCAGCATCATAGGATCATATTACTCAAACCCATATAAGTATAGATTGATAGGGAAGAAGGTCACAAATTAGTGTGTGCAAATGTGAATGGGTTATACAAAGATAAGTTGATTGGTGGCGTAATTGTTATCGAAACGGAAAACAGAATCATCGTACCGAGTTCGAATTCCAGCCGATCCTGTTTATATCCAATGAGCACAATGGGTCTTGAGGAAGATGTAAATTCACATCATTTAACGTTGTAGAATCGACAACAGTCTACCACAGTGAGCGAAATAAAGAGTTCAGTTCGACATTCCAACCACCTGAAGAAGGCCGGAGCGTACAATGGCTGAAACGTAATAAATATGGCGACAAAGATGAGGACAATAGGCCGAATAGTGTCAATAGCGTACATAATACCTCATCTCAGAAATATAGACAGATACTGTAGTATCGACAAATATCTTATCAGACAATATTTTGTGTCTCACATGTAACGACTGTTGTTGAAGTAAAAAAAACGCTCTAAGCGACAAGCCTGTAATAACTGTTAAAAATCTGTCAGAAAATCTGTCAAAATGGCTGTCAAAAAATAATAACAAATTTAGAGAGAGATCCGTCAAAAAATCTGTCCAAAAATCGTAACCATCTTAGAGAGATATCTCTCAAAAATCGTAACAACTTTAGCGGGATATCTGTCAAAAAATCTGTTAAAAATCTACCCCCAAAATAGTAACAACATTATAGAGAGATCTGTCAAAAATCCGTCAAGAAATCGTAAATTAGAGAGAGATCTGTCAAAAATCTTTTCACTCCAAGAAGACAATAAAAGCCTCTAGGATACAAAGGTCTACTAAGAGTGAAAAAAACAGAGGAAAATTGCGTCCATTTTGATTTTCTAGACCCGATCAGACTTACTATTACGAGAAAATAAATGGGTGGGTCATGAACTTTTTGAGAGTCAAGTTTATGTCAGGCCTCAAGTGGCACTCGTATATGAGATCCATCACTAAAGATACTGGAAAAGTGGTCGGTTTGCTGCCTTCGTCGTTGTTGACGGAGCTCATTGCCGAATATTGGGGTGCTCATAGATATTTCCCTCTGTGTGAAACGAATCTAAACGGCATCGTAAGGTATGAGGGTTTAGAAGATGGAGAATTCTGGCTATTCTTTGTTTCTTCTTTTACCTTTTACCTTGTTTCCGAAGGATGTCAATCTTTCGTGGACTGCACAATTGGTTCTTTCTGCAGCTTCCAATAGACCAGATCCCTAAGTCGACGACGCGAGGCTCCACGGGATTTCTTGCTAGATGGAAGCTTTCAGAAGCATTTGTTTGGGTAGACGGATGTATGACATTCGTGTTAGGTTTGCAGCCCATCAATAGTCGATGACGAGTTCTTTGTATCGCTCCAGTAAATACCCGACTTCTGTTATGTTCTACCTTTACAAGTGTCAGATCTGTCATGAATTTCTGCTAAAATATCTGGGCTGATGCTTCCCAGTCTTCAATTTCCAATCTACGCAGACGAAGCGTTGCAAGCCTCTCACTATTCGACTGCTATTTCCATGGAAAATGTTCAAATGCGCCACATTCTTTCGTTCCCAAAACTGTAACCTTCACAGCTGACCCACGCCGCCCCGTGTACATTGAGGCGAACCCACTTCACCCCGCTTCCTTTAGTAAGAAACAAGTTACACTCGGATAGCTTCTACCGAAGAACTGTTGCATTGTGGAATAGAATCCAAGGAGGATGCTTCACCAACCACTACGATTTTAACATCTCTTTTTTACATAAGCGCATAAACTGCACCCATTACTCTTACCGCTCATAAGCTCTCTACCTTGATTGGCTCTTGGGTATTGTATAGAGGGAACATTAGTAAAAAGAAAAAGAAAACAATACCGAATCGGAAACGGATGGCACAGGGAAGATCCTGGCTGAAAATAAGGAACAGTGTTGGTTCAAAAACAGAGTGCTGGGTGAACCCTGCCTGTAAAATGAACTGGAGGAGTGGCCGTTCAAGACAACTCTCATTAAGCGGTTTGGTAAGATTGAATCAATTCAAACAAATGATCTGAGACAGCATAAGTCTTCAACTTGGGAAGCGTGCCAAACATTTGACAAATGCTTTGGAAATATCTAAAGCAATCTATGTCAATAGCCTGAGCTTACACTTTCTTATGTTGGAGACTGGTCATGTGAGACTAGATTTTATTTTCTACTAATAAACTTGTTGTAATTTTATTTCTTCTCCCATCCACTCACTTTCTCTTTTCGATTTTTCTCTTACTTTCTTCTCTCTCTTTTACATTCATTCACTTCCAACTTCTTTCACTCTCTCTTTCCTTTACTACACATACTCTCTCTCACAGTATCATCTCTCTCTCTCTCTCTCTCTCTCTCTCTCTCTCTCTCTTACAGACCTACTCTGTTTCTCTCACTCATTTTCATTTTCTCTTACTTTCTCACACACTCTCCCTCACTAAATCTACAACCTCTCTCATTCCATTTCACTATTTTAACTACTTTTCTCACTTATTCTTTCTTTCAATCTTTTCTCTCGCACTCACTCTTTCTCTTTCAAACTTCCTTTCGTTCTTCCTCTCCCTCTCCTGCCACTATCTTTATTATTATCTCTCTACGCATTGGCGCCAATTTTCTTTCTTTTCTGTTATTCCAAACCCGAAAAAAAAATCTTATTCTTTTCTTAATTCTCTGTCAAAATCTTTTCGAGCCTAGGGCAACTTTTTCACTTAAGGAGCAGATATTCAGTTAAATTTTAACGTTTTATAAGAAGCGAAACGCTACAGGCGATAATCCCCCCCTCCTTTCTTCCCTCTCCTCTTTCCTCCTCTCCTCTTTCCTCTCTCCTCTCTGTCTATGTCAACAGGCAAAACTCTCTCTTTCTTTCTCTGCTTACACACTCTACTTTGTAACTTTTTCTGATTTTTTTTTCACGTTGTGTAAGTCTTTCTTTTCTTCACCATTGTTTCGTACAATGTATTTTCGATTTTCGCATATATTTTATCTTTTCTTCTTTATTTCTATTCAGTTTAATTTTATTCCTTTTTTTTTATTTTGAAGATATTTTTATACAATAATTTCCGTCGTATATTTTAAATTATTTTGCAATTGTTAATTGCTCCTGCTTTCTCACTCTACTTTCTTACCCTTTCAATTTTCTCTCTGTCTCTTTTCATTTCTCTTTCCTTCTATTACTCTCTCTCTCTCTCTCTCTCTCTCTCTCTCTCTCTCTCTCTCTCTCTCTCTTTCTACATCTGTTTTAATCAATTTTTTCGCTCAAAATGTTTACTTTTCCCCCCAAAGTGTCATTGATAAATTCTTCCGATCAATTTGCAAAATTTCTAACGGGAATGGAATTTGATGTCAAAGTAAAACCAAGTCAAAAATCACATAACTTAAGTAGACACTTTGAAAATTGAAAAAATTCTGCTTCCATCAAAGCCAGAGGCACCAGAGGAAATTCTTTCTTTAATTTGGTAAAATTGAACAAATATTTGGTTTCGAGTCGATAAAGTAAATTTATTTTAGATACCATTTAAATGTTGGACTTGAAAGTTCAAATTCATTGACGGTTTATCGTCTACATATCTGGCTATAGAAAATAAAACAAAAAGATCCAAATATTTACAAGCAATCTTTCAAAGTTAAAACTTCTTAAGCATTAAAGTGGCTTCACCTATCAAAACAGAAGTAAAAAACTACTTTCTGGTGATAGCAACAATCTGTAAATTTCTATTTTATGGTTTCTTTTGCTTCTTATGTGTCTTTTTGCGGTTTCATTCATTTTAATGCATCAGATCGGATTTTTTTTTCTTAAAATATTTTTTTTCTTACGTTACGTGTCCCTTCAGGACGTAGATGATAGGTCTCCACGACTTTGACGCTCTAAACAATGGCTGTCTCTTTTCTATCCACCCCACTCCTTTCACTGCAGCCATTACTAAGATGTGTGACTGCTGACGAATACCAGGTGCTTATAAGCTTTGGCGTGCGGGTGGTGTGATGGATAATGACTCGAAATTGTCAATTGGAGAACCGAGTTCTAATTCCAGCTCAGTTCGTTATATACACGTACATGCAAATAACACGGGGAAAAGTTATGAACCCACCTCTAGTTCTCCCATATATGGGTTAATTAGTAAGATTAGTATCATTAAAAACATTCTTAAAATCTAAAAATATGTTCTAGCTTGATAAGCCGTAGATAATAAATCAACTAATCAATCAGATTATTTTCTATTTGTATACAGAGGTGGGGTGGGGGTTGTTCCCTGCAAATGTTATTCTAATATTTTTTTTCAAAGTAAATAAAGTTTTAATAACTGTATTCTCAGTGTCTTCTTCTTCTGTGAATCAATTGTCCACCATTCACTGCCATATATGAGGATTGATGAATCAATTGTATTCTCTAAATCCTGTAGACCTTAACTCTGTTACCCTCTGAGGTAATTGTTCCAGTGTCCATATATGAGGATTGATATTACATAGCAGTCCAGCACTCAGTCATTCAGACCTTAACTCTGTTTTATTTGTATTCTCATATATGAGGATTGATATTACATAGCAGTCCAGCACTCTTTTATTTGTATTCTCTAAATCATTCTGTAGACCTTAACTCTGTTACCCTCTGAGGTAATTGTCCACTCCAGTGTCCACTGCCATATATGAGGATTGATATTACATAGCAGTCCAGCACTCTTTTATTTGTATTCTCTAAATCATTCTGTAGACCTTAACTCTGTTACCCTCTGAGGTAATTGTCCACTCCAGTGTCCTATTTAGCAGTCCCCTCTTTTATTTGTATTCTCTAAATCATTCTGTAGACCTTAACTCTGTTACCCACCCAGTGTCCACTGCCATATATGAGGATTGATATTACATAGCACTCTTTTATTTGTATTCTCTAAATCATTCCAGACCTTAACTCTGTTACCCTTTATTTAGTGTAACCATATTGTTTTCTGTCCAGCATTTTGAAGGATAAATCATTCTTACCCTCTGAGGTAATTGTCCACTCCAGTGTCCACTGCCATATATGAGGATTGATATTACATAGCAGTCCAGCACTCTTTACTTTATTTATAACCTATTGTTTTCTGTTTAGATTTTTGAAGGGATCTCTTCTTACTTCATTACTTAATTATACTTTCGTATTTTTGTCAAATTACAAAGGTCAACAAAAAAAACTGAAATGGTGTCGAGATACCAAACATCTATTTTAGCTAACGTGAGGGCACTGAATCTGAAAATAGACTTACTTTTTCTTGATTAGCTACCGTTTTTGCTGTACATAAATACCTTTTTTGTTAGAAAAAAAGCACTTTTTCATTTGTTTTCTGTATATATGATATTGAGCGATGGAAATATTTCTCAAAATAAAATCGTAGAAACCTCTCAATTCGTATTTAAACCAACAAATATTGGTCTGATTCTTGAGAAACACTATTTTTGCAATAACAATCAGACCCTAAGTCTTTAAGAATAACATAATTGGATATACCAAGTATTTTCATCAAATCATTTAACCGCAGAAATAAAATCTTCGTGAACATATGAACTATGGTAATTTTTTCTCTCTTTTTGACTGTTATATTCAATGTTATTTAAGTCCCTTTAGATACTCCAGCAGTATCATGTACAATGGAATAGGTGCATTCAATTGGGATTTCTTTAGTTGGAGATTCTTTTCAACTGTGAAGACTCGAAGTGAAGGGGTAAGATTGATGGGATAAATTTATTAAGATCAAACAGAAGATTTTAAGCTTTCATTTTTTTGAAGTCACCTTAATTATCAGGTTTACTAAAATGTATTACTGATAAAGTTTATCAGTTAATTTGAATTTTGGTAATAAATTTGAAAAATTCGGTACATCTATTTTAAAATTTTTGACTCAAAAACACTTTTTTTTCTTATAAAAATAGTTTATTTCAGGTGGCTGACATAAATTGCTTGTCCTCCCTGAATACTGAAGGGTTTCAACGACCTTTATTAACTAAATTTTGCAATCAGCCAAGATTGTAAATTGTTCCTTTTTTACAAAAATTTCAGTACAGCAGAAATAGTAGCTAACCATGAAAAAACTACGGTCATTTTCGGAATCAGCACCAATCAAAGTAGCTAAAGAACGTGTTTTGTTTCTTGGCACCAAAAATCCTGTTTACTCGTGTTATCTGTCATTTATAACACTTGCCAAACAGTTAAATTCCTGTTTTTACTTGCTTATCAGAAACTAGTAGATACTCCAATTTATAACTCGAATTTTGGGCTCAATATGTTACCTTCTTGTTCTTTCTTTTCATTCTCTTTTACTACGTTACTAAAAAGGGTGACCCATCAATAGGGTGTCCCCTGTGTATTTTACGTTGTTAACGATTGTTTCAGCCAATACTAAATCTTCTTAGAACATGTTGTTTTCTTAGGAATGAGTCGTTGTATAGGTTGAAAACATCCGGTGAGAAGACGCTTACTCATCTTACACTGCTTTCTATGGTTTGCCTTCTTGCCTCAGATTATTTATGCTTTTCGTTTTTGTTACTGTTTTTTGTTGTTGTTGTTATTGTTGTTGTTCATGGCCTTCGCGCTTGCTTATATCTGTTTACTCCCAAACTGTGATCTAAATGCTCAGGTCGTTACCACTTTTAGAATTGAATAAAAATGATTTATTTTACTAACTTAGCAATTTAAAAGCTATCAAAAAACCAATAGTTTATTCATAAAAAAAGTACACAAAAGCACTGCAAATAAATAGCAAAAAATAGATACTATTTGAAATTTGATTTTCAAACTTAATATGCGATAGGGTTATATCCATTAAACAAAAACTATTGAGTTCGGAAAGATATAAGAAATATTCTGGTAGATATAAACAATAAAATCACATTTATTTGATATCACTTTTTACATAAGATTTGTACACACGCACAGCCAACTTTATATGTTCATTTTCTAAATTTAGAGGGAACACACAAACAAGCTTTGGGCCTTATACATTAGATAGAGTCGAGATGTATTTATGCAGCTTCTTTCAGTCATGTACAAAGTCAAAGGAGAAGGGTGCCAGGTGTGGACCAAACTCTTAACAATGGTCTCTAAGACGACTAAATTAGATGTAGAAGATGTTTTTCTTTAACACAGACATAAACATTCTAAAAATATCAAGCCAGACAATCACTCCAATTTAAACAGAAAAAAATAACCGCCTTATGAGATAGAAATGGAAGAAGACGCTTTCTCTAATGAAAACCATGGATATTTTATCCATGATTTTCATTAGAGAAAGAATCTTGTTCTGTTTACTATATACGAGAAGGACTGAAAAGTTTTTGCAGCCACCAAGATAGGATTTTTTTAAATTCTGAAGTTTGATCATTTCATCAAATTTGTTGAAGTGAGTTGAGTACCCCTTCTTAATGATGTTATCAAAACAAAAAAGTTTAGCTATATTAATGACATCGTCCTGGGTAAGACGTTAAACTACATCCGCATCTTGGGTAAGACGTTAAACTACGTCCAGCAGCAAGGCCTCTGATCAGGAGGTTTTGACGAGCGTGGAACCACCTCTTAATTGCTGTTGTTCCTAGGTCCACCCTGACCCGGGGTGGTAGCACCTTTTAGGGTCCCAAATATGGGCAAATAGTTAACTATTACCAGCAATACTTTTTTGAAAAAAATTATTACCAGCAATACAATTTTGAAGGAAATATATTACCAGAAACAGATTTTTGACAAAACAAAATATTACCAGCAATAGAAAAAAATAAACCAAACTAATCTAAACCAAAAATACATATTCTATTCATACGAATCCATCCTAAAAATGTTGTCGGCATTAAATAACCCATTGAGGTTGATCTGCTGTAAAACAAAATAAACCAAACCAATCTAAACCAAAGAACACATATTCTATTCATA